ATTTTTTATAAACCCATGCTGCTTACTCTCAAGATTAAGCTTTTTGCCATTTTATACTAATTAGTAACATTAAAAAATTTTAAAATAAAATCTCATAATAGATTTTATTTTAAAATTTTAAATATTACCGGGAAAGTTAAGCAACTCTTTGCTGGATTTTTTTTCTATTTTTTCTTTTGAAAACTTACTAATAGACATAGACATTAAAGCTTGTACACGAAGAAAACATCCAGAATTAAATAAAAATTTTCATATATCGTAGCAAAGAAATTATCTACTTGAAAATATGAATTCCGACTCCAGTAAACCAACGGAATTTCTTTTATTTGATTTAATAAAATCCATTTCCATATCTGTTTTATTCATGAATCTTAGAAGGTATCTTAAAGAGATTGAAAGTGTTATTCCATCCACGTGTGTAACATTACTTCCTTTATTTATTATTATGTTTATATTCTAACTATCGAGGTACTCTGTATGCAATAGTAGTACAGCGAATTCACGTATTACGACCCCCCTTATTTACGACGTATACGAAGATGTCACGTTTAAAATATTAAAATTATATTTACAAGAACAGAATCTTAATTTATGATGCTTCGTCTAAAGAAAACGAGGGTTCGATTTACAACGGCTCGCTTAACGACTGACAAAACTCTTCTCTTGTCAAACCTTCTTCACGGAAAAATTCTTAAACTGGTTAAATAATAAAATTAAATAATAATAAATACATATATTTTTAAATATTTCTATACTTTTATGACCTGCTTGGCTCTTGGAAGATCGTCGTTAAGCGAGCCGACGTAAATTGAACCTCAGCTTCTTATAGGGTAATATTGTAAATTCAGGTTATATCCCGGTAAAAACTTTGGCAATACACAGTTAAATGGTTATAATTTATTTCATTTTAATTTATTATTAATTAAATTTAAATCTAGATATACACGATAAATCGATCGTTTAAATAAGCATAAAGCAATAATGTAATTTTAATTAAGGTGGTTCAAATGTCAGTTAACCATTATAAATATTAACTTAATATCTTGTGGTTTTCACTATTTGCTGAATAATTTAAAGTGTCTTTCACTAACTATAAACTAAAGTGGTTCAAAAGTTAGTTAACTATTGTAATTGGTATTTTGTTTAAATACTTTACTACTTATAATCACAACGCTTTAACATATTAAACAATCTTTCATAGCTTGTTCGAGTAATACAAATGATTAACCGACTTTTGGACCACATTTTTTTATTATTATTTCAGTGAAAAAATATTTTATCTTAAATGTATTTCTACAAGAGTTAATACATACAAGTACAGTAAATGAGTTTTTATTTATTCATCTATATATGAATGGGCAGTGAAAGAATCGCTGATTATAGCGAAAGTAGTTGATACCGATCATGATCATTTTTCCTATCACTTTATCTTCTTAGCTATGAATGAAACTGCTGCTACATCCGTGTTATACAATCAGATCAATTCGAGTGTGTTTACGTTTTGAATAATACACGCTTCTGATAAATTGGGTAGAGGAAACTTCATCAATTCAGTTCTACAGATGCTTACAGTAAGCAAGTTGTATAAACAGGATTTTGAAAATATGGATACTCCTCAAGGTAGATTCGGAGGAACCAAGTCACGGGCTTATCGTTACTCAATTACCATAGAATTACTTTAGTTACCTAACTGAAGTCACGCAATGTGCATTATTATATTTATTTATATTTTAAAGTAGTAAAACTTATTGGTTTGGTATCAAGAGGTGCTGCAGCACCATACGTATCTCTTGGATACGAGACGAAACAGCACCTTTGTATCTTACATTTTGAGAAAAATTATTCACACACATTTTCTAAAATATTCTTTATATTTTAAAAATCAAAGCCAAGTATATAATACACATCTACTATTTATCTTATTATTTTTTCTATTTTTTACTTTCTCTGCTCTTTTATGTAGCCTATAACAGAGGGAAAGTACGGCGATCGGTCAAGAAATGATCTCCCAAGATTTTTACATGTTTGGACTCGGGGACCTTAAAACTTCAAAAAAATGCAAATAATTTAGGAGCTTTTTCTGTATGTATGGATATTAGTGCGTGTATATGTGTGGTGGGTGTGTGGCACGATTTTGTTCACCCTCTTTGAAGCTTAACAACACCCGTGCTTTTCGTCCAAAATTTCTGAAATTTTGTATGGAGGTTCATGTATTAGACAGGGGTGGCGAACCTGTGGCACGTAAGGAGAAATCATCTGGCACGTAACGTATCATACGATTTCTGTCTTTTTCAATCATCTTTTCCGTTTATCACCTGAATATCCTTTTTTCAATCCGCTTTTTTACATTTATTCTAATTAAAGCGTAGTCTATTCGTTTAATTTCTTTAAATATCGTTATTCGAAATCTGAAACTTTGGCACGCATAAACATCTTTAAAGCTAAGTATGCTTACAATATGGCACGCTAACACAAAAAGGTTCGCCAACCCTGTATTAGGACATTGATGCTATTAAATTTTGGTGGTTAAAGGTCGAGGAGGTCAGGAAATAAAGGGGGGTCATGTGTCATATCTCGAGTAGGGTCGGACATAAAGATGACTTTACTCGTTATTAGCATTTACAATTTTTTATAAACCCATGCTGCTTACTCTCAAGATTAAGCTTTTTGCCATTTTATACTAATTAGTAACATTAAAAAATTTTAAAATAAAATCTCATAATAGATTTTATTTTAAAATTTTAAATATTACCGGGAAAGTTAAGCAACTCTTTGCTGGATTTTTTTTCTATTTTTTCTTTTGAAAACTTACTAATAGACATAGACATTAAAGCTTGTACACGAAGAAAACATCCAGAATTAAATAAAAATTTTCATATATCGTAGCAAAGAAATTATCTACTTGAAAATATGAATTCCGACTCCAGTAAACCAACGGAATTTCTTTTATTTGATTTAATAAAATCCATTTCCATATCTGTTTTATTCATGAATCTTAGAAGGTATCTTAAAGAGATTGAAAGTGTTATTCCATCCACGTGTGTAACATTACTTCCTTTATTTATTATTATGTTTATATTCTAACTATCGAGGTACTCTGTATGCAATAGTAGTACAGCGAATTCACGTATTACGACCCCCCTTATTTACGACGTATACGAAGATGTCACGTTTAAAATATTAAAATTATATTTACAAGAACAGAATCTTAATTTATGATGCTTCGTCTAAAGAAAACGAGGGTTCGATTTACAACGGCTCGCTTAACGACTGACAAAACTCTTCTGTTGTCAAACCTTCTTCACGGAAAAATTCTTAAACTGGTTAAATAATAAAATTAAATAATAATAAATACATATATTTTTAAATATTTCTATACTTTTATGACCTGCTTGGCTCTTGGAAGATCGTCGTTAAGCGAGCCGACGTAAATTGAACCTCAGCTTCTTATAGGGTAATATTGTAAATTCAGGTTATATCCCGGTAAAAACTTTGGCAATACACAGTTAAATGGTTATAATTTATTTCATTTTAATTTATTATTAATTAAATTTAAATCTAGATATACACGATAAATCGATCGTTTAAATAAGCATAAAGCAATAATGTAATTTTAATTAAGGTGGTTCAAATGTCAGTTAACCATTATAAATATTAACTTAATATCTTGTGGTTTTCACTATTTGCTGAATAATTTAAAGTGTCTTTCACTAACTATAAACTAAAGTGGTTCAAAAGTTAGTTAACTATTGTAATTGGTATTTTGTTTAAATACTTTACTACTTATAATCACAACGCTTTAACATATTAAACAATCTTTCATAGCTTGTTCGAGTAATACAAATGATTAACCGACTTTTGGACCACATTTTTTTATTATTATTTCAGTGAAAAAATATTTTATCTTAAATGTATTTCTACAAGAGTTAATACATACAAGTACAGTATAAGACTTTTATTACTTTAACAAAAAAATATGTATATATATTTATATGACTTTTATATTTACTATTATATATATTATCAAATTTATAAGATCTTAAATTATGTGAATCAATAAAAATCTGCAAAATTTGATGATAAATATACAAATTCTCCATTCTGATATATTTTGCCATATGTCATAATGTTTCAAGAAGATTTATTATGTTTATAAAAATAGCAAATTTTAACAGAGAATAACTCTTTGAAAATAGAGTATTTCTCTATTTTCAAAGAGTTATTCTCTTTAATTCTCTTCTATAATTTTTAAAAGTTCTTCCTTTGAGAATTTTAAAGATTATTTGTTTAAAAAAGTAGAGTTCTTATATTTTGAATAACTTGGTTAAATCATGACGTTTCAGAATTCATGATTCTTATTTTGATTTATATTTCTATTTATACGAGGTGATCAGAGAAACTGTTTTCAAACGTATATAACACTGCAAAATTTAACTCTTAACATAATTTATTAATACTGAACCGATTACACATATTCATCATCACTACACGTCACAATCAAGTGACGTGCGTAATAGAGTGACGTGTAACGATGATCGGTTCTGGATTAATAAAATATATTTACCATTAAAACTGGTTGCATGATATGCATTTAAAAATAGGTTTCTCTGCCCTATCCTGTATTGTTTAAAAATGAAAATTTCTTTCTATGCGTAATTATACACAGGGAGTTCCANATTAACAAAATTAACTATTTAATTAAGGTGACGACGCGCTTCGTCATTTCACTATTATTACAAAGAATAAAATATGATTTTTTTCCCATTTCCTTTGGGTTCAACCTTGTTCTTATTATTAAATAAGAAGGAAAGGGATTAAAATGGACAAAACGAGTACATGATTTAACATCAAAGAATATATTACCAGTAAAAATATACAAAATATTTTTTAAAATAGTCTGTATAAATATATTTACAGGTAAACCTGAAAATAACGGCCACTGAGGTAAGCATAAAAATGGCTGTTGTTTGGCTATTTTGTATGTTTAGCAGCGGCCGTTATTGGAGGTTTGACTTTACTTGTTGTGTAAAATGTACTAAAACAGGAATTCTTATGATCAATATCCTTATTTGATCATAAAAATTCGAACAATGTTATAAAGGGAGGTCATTTGTATTTACTTTTACATAAAATTTATGAAATACAAATAATATATGTACAGTACTTATATACACAAAATGCTTACAGAAAATGACATGAATTGTACATATGTGATGGCATATTTAATGGCATGTACTTTTAAAATAATGTTATTCTTAATTGATTCTCTTTGTGTAATTACTAATTTTTTCTGTGATCTGAAAAGAAAGAAAATAACTGTGGAAACCGAGTTACAGTTTTCCAAATCTGATGTAACGTACGAGGAGAATATTCGTGAGCGGATATAAGCCTATTAAAACTATGAAAAGTCAATCTTCTATGATCGTTCTTAAATTCATTATTAGCAACACGTTTAATGCCTGCTTTATCTGCCACTACCCCTGTCATAAAAACGTCTTCTAAATGTAGATAAGGTAGTTCGAGGCTAGTTTCGTACAGAATTTTAGCAGAATCTGTTGTAAAAAGATAAGAAGGACCAGAAGTAAAAGTTGGATAAAAATTATCCTTATACTCTTTTTCAGAAACATACCACTTACTTTTCTTGAGGCGATGAGGAGCAAGGTCACTCATAATTCTACCAAATATTGTCCTTTTATAATTTTCATTATAGAAAGTTTGTAACAAACGATTTACATTTATTAACATGTCGTCGTCAGCTTTCAGAATATAAGCTGTGTTAAAGCAATACTCGGAAACCCATTTCATCATGGCCACACTTTTTAGTGATAAGTTACGATACGTATCTATGCATTTCACTTGAACGATATCTTGATGCAGCGCGTTTTCCATCTCGATATACTTCTGTTGATGCTGCAAAAATGGTCTCCCAAGCAGGAATAATACTGGTATACCAGCCTCCTTAGCGTAACCACCCCATGTTTCTCTAATCGCATTTCTTTCAGAGATTCTTCCAGCAGTTGATGGGATTATAAAGGCTATTGAATAGTTAACTTGCTTGCATTTATTCGGTTGATTAATTTTATATTCTAAACACGAACTGTAGTAACCTGTTTGATGATACCTTTCATAATGTACACTGGATATTTCTGTGGTTTCATGAATATTGTTTTTTATAGATTGATTTATGTTCAGTAACCTGAACAAGTTTAATTGTTTGAGATGCTTCAATTTTGAATTATTAAAGATGCTTGAAGTATCTGATACAATTGCTTGTAAGTAAGATGTGGGTATATGTTGACCGTTCATTATGAAAATAAATATAATTCCTGTAGAAATCATCAACATGAAATAAAATTTCCGTAATGTAATGAGACGGATCATTGTTGATAGAGCTTCCTGAAAATATATTAATATATTTTATAATAATTTTTAATTTCTAAGGAAGACACTATAAAAATTACTATTTTAAAAACATAAATAGTAATACATTCAAACCTCCAAACAATGGCCACTTCTAACAGCTGCTACTTTTTCAGTACCTTTTTTTGAAAAAAAACGCATACAAAATGACCTCAAATATCTGCCATCTACGAACAGTCTTCATTTTATTTTTTTATTTTTTTTTTACGTTTACGATATCGGTTTTGTTCGGAGATTTGACTGTATAAACATTTTACAAATAAACGTAAATCAGGTCGAATGGCCGAGTAATCAAGGTAGCAGCCTAGCGCTCTGCGGACCAGATGTCTATTCGTGGAGGTTGTCTATTCGGATATGTCAGGCTTCGTCCATCACCACCCGACCACCCACCACCCCATTGTGGGACTGGCTCGAACTCATAATGGGCTTGCTAAAAGAGGCCCTCTTAGTGTTCACAGGGCGAAAAGAGTTAAAAAAAATAATAAATAAATAAATAAACGTAAATAATAAAATTTCTGAATCCACAGATACACTACCGATTTTCCGGCAGCGTTGTTTCAAAATTCTAACTTAATTACCTGTTTTACTGAATCAACAGACATCACATAACAATAAACAATTCATTCCTGATTCATTAATTAATTATGTCCATCCTGTGACTTTAAATCACCATAATCTTCTAGAAATTGTTTAATTTTAAAATTAAGCAAAGCAAAAAATTTTAAACTAAATATTCATCTTGTTAAAGTACACATTCTTAGCAGCATTCCTGAAAAATTCAAGAAATTTGAACGACTAGTTGAGAAATATTCGCGAGAGTTAATTTTTAATTTTTCTACTTAAAATATAAGTAGACCTTCACGAAAAAACTCGCGCTGTAACCATCTGTATATTCAAAAATTTAGTCTGTCAGTCGCGAGAATTTTAAGTGTTGTTCTAATTTAGTTCCAATTAAAGTATGTGCTGGATAGTCGGAGTACACTTGTGCTAATTTTATGTCAATGGCAAAGCACGGGTTTTCGTGGAATTTCACGGTTAAAAACAAAAAAAGTAAAACATGCGGTAGGAATATCCTCTTCAGCGAATAATGGAATGAATAACAATGCGTGTCCTTTCATTTGCTTGTTCGCCCCAAATCTGCCTCAAGCAGAACCCTTATTCTTAAAATCCTAGATATGCTATTGCTATATATTGCTAGTAGCGAGTGGATAAACTCATGAAACTAGATCGCGGATTCTCGCCTCACCAACGGGTGGTCACGTGGAGTTATCCGGATTTTCTTCATGTTTGTAACATCTAAATAATGTCCAGTTTACCATAGAAAGTCTTTTCGAGAAATACATTGGCAAATCGCTCTCGCATTGCGTAATCCCATAACAACGTACATAGACACAATATTTTCTGTTTGTAAGAATTATAAATTATAATCAACAGTTTGTTCTCTATCATAAAAAGTAAATAATAAAATACTCACTTAACTTTACATATATACAGTATTTCTTTCAAACACATCTGGTTTTTCAGCGTCATAGTACAAGTTTGAAAAATATAGTGCGCGATAAAAATTATATGTGAATCATACAGGTGTTACCATGTGTTATTCACTGGAAAATAATTCCAAATGGCATTTGGGACACATATACAGATGTTAGAATATTATAGGCGATACAGTGAATTATTAGGAAATTAGAAATAATTTCACAACGTTCAATATTTAATTTAATAGTCTATTAATTATATTTTAGAATACATAATTCATACTTATACTTGAATTTTCTGTGATTTATTTCAATAGGAATAAGCCTATTGAAAAGAATATTGATAGTCAAAGACAATACTAATGTCAGAGCGAATAGTAAATAAAGGAATTAATATAGTAACAGAAGTTCGTTAATCCAAAACCCGATAATCCGAAATGCAAGTAATCCAGCGCCTTATTATTCCGCTCATGTTTGTAATTTTTTTGTATACATATTGGAGAATAAATATAACACGAACACAGATCATTGTAAACATTGATTTCGGCCAGATGACCGAGCAATTAAGGTATCAACCTACTGCTCTGAGAGATCCGGGATCGAATTCGAGTGGAAATAAACACCGGATATATCGGAATCTCGTTCTCCTCACCTGACTATCCCTATTATGGGCCTGACCGAACCCATGGTATGATTAAAAGACCTTCTTAGTGCCCATAGAGCGAAAAGAATCAAAAAATGAGAATAAAACAACCGACATTGCAGAAAACCATTGAGATTATGTTATACACTTCATATTAATCAATATATAAGAGAAAATAATGTTATAAAATCCATAAATTTAACAAATACCCAACGATTAATTTTTAAGTAGAAATAATAATACATACGTTTAGCAGTGTAGCATCATTTCTCTAGTAAGTATGCACCGCTTCTCACATTAATTACACAATTTAGCTTTTATCTTAAGAGCTATCTCTCATAATAAAACAAATATAATAAGCATTGATAATACTCAGCAGGCATTAGCTTTCAACTGTTTGCATCCATAACGTTGATTCGTCAAAAAATACGAAAATTTTTCTTTAATTTTGGTTAAAATTAAAAACCAAAAATTGTATTTCTCGAAGAGTTTGAATTTTAAAATATTTTTTTACTTTTTTCCTGGATCAATGTTCGTTTCTTCAGGTCTTCAAAGACGTCTTCATCATGATTAATAAATTTCCTTATACAAACCGATAAGTAAAAAGTATTTTCGATATTCACTTTTCAATATTTTTATTGTTAAATGATAGAGAACATGTCTTTAATCACTAAATATAATTATAAAAATTGTATAAAAATGAACATGTCATATGTTTAACCTGCAACCATGAAATTGCGGCTGGCATAATCTTGTTCTTGTTCTATTTCTTGCTCTTCGAACTCTTTATCAGTTTGTATGGAATATAATCAGCAACTCATCTGTTGCAGGCTACATTCCAGTCCCAATTTCTCCCATTGCGAATTAGTCTGATTTTTCTTACGGTTATCAATTATGTTAATTAAAGAACAAAAAATGACGTCCGATTGAAATTATTCAAAATAAATTATAAAACACGCATCGGATTCAAACCCGGAGCCTTCAAACTTTTTTGCATTATCTGCAAGATTCAAACTATGTATTACAATGTTAATTTTATTTTTCTGGTATCTTCTTTTTCATTTAATTAATTTAACTTAATTAATCTGACCCATTTTTTTTAATTCAATCTCCTTTTGAATAATTAATTAATATGCAAAGAATATTTTCACCTTGGGCTTACTGAATCTTCAGCTTCCTCTTAACGATCTCGCTGTATCTGGTTTTGTATCGAAAAATCTTGATCTATCAAATCTTCATAAGCAATGTAGTTTATAATTTAAATTTAAAACATCAACTAGGACTTGTCTATTATTAGGACTTATTATACCGGATAACTGATTCTGCAAATTAAGTAAATAAAAGTGATAAATAAAGATTGTTTTTCTGACTTTGTTTACTCAATTTGCAGAACCAGTTATTCAGCATAATAATTCCTAATAATAGATAAGTCCTAGTTGATGTTTTAAGTTTAAATTAATAAATTAAGGACAGAGAGGCATTTAAATTTGATTGTAGTTTATACTTTTTATCCTTTTCCTGAGCATGCAGTTCAGGATACAAAGAACTAACATTTATTCCAGTTTTCTAACAATGTTATTCAATGCAATATCTTACTTCTTCCATTCTGCGGATGCTTATCGTGTATTCAATCAGATGTATAATAGGAACGATTGGGCGATGATGATACCCGACATATCTGACCCAACCTTTCTATGAAAATTGCTGAGCCAATCCGAATTCGAACCCAAATTCACTTCACCCAGAGTGATAATGACAAACTGGTATATTTAAGTGTCCACCAATGGCCGAGCGGATAAAATCATTGAACATTGATCGTGCGTGACTAATAGGTTGGCCACGTGAAGTTTCCCTAGTTTTTCTCATGTGTCTAATTCCTAAATAGGGTTCAGTTGTCCGTAGAAAGTCCCGAGTGGCACCCCTTGGCAGATCGTCCATATGTTGCGTTGCTTTTTTCGATCAATCCTATGTAATCCAATCTGGTACTTTAAGTGTCTCGGTTGGATAATTTTTCTTTTGTCATAGACAAAAGATAAAATAAACCTAGAAAAGTTAAAAAATCGTTTCAGTGTTTATATGTCAGCCAAATGGCCGCACTTTAAACCAGTGGTTCTTAACCAGTGTTCCGCAAACCTATCTCGAGTGTTCCACGAAAGATAATATTTTAAAGTTTCTATTCAAATTTACTATCATTGCTATATTCGTAGACAATTCCATGTTTCTATTTTATTCAATATAGGCTATTAAAATTTATTAGTTTATTGCTTCATTATTTCCTGAGAATAGTAAACATGGAATTGCTTATCAATTTCTGAATACAGTATATTGATGCTAATGCTCCGTGTAATAAAAAGTATATAAATGGTGTTTCGTGGCCTCAGAAAGGTTGAGAACCACTGCTCTAAACGATTAAACTACATCCTTGAAGAGTTAGAACCCAGTCCAGACCATAACTTATCATCGATAATTTAGGTCTAGACATAGTTCATCTCTCATTTATGCTACATAATTAACATATAATAACTGGAAATTTTTTAGACAATAGTTTGTATTGTCTAAAAAATTTGACATTTACTATTAACTTTATATACCCAGACAAACATAAATACATGTTTTATTTTTTTTTAAATAAATTTTAATAAATTTATAAAAAGAATTATTGATTAAACTCATTTACCTTATAAATTCGGGCCGATGAACCATGTGTAACTCTTGAATATTAATCATACGCATTTTAACAAGCGACAAAATATTATAATCGAATGACAATAGAATGCTATCATTTTCGATTCATGCTTATTGTAATCACGATGTAGTTAATACCCCTGCAGGAAATAACTCTTATTTTTTATTGGATTTATAATTATGAGAAATTACGAGTGTTTGTTTTGTAATTTATTTCTTTCAAGTATCGAGTACAGGCTTGCATCAGAGATTTATCCATCCTTCGGGTAATGAGAGACCCCCAAATTTCACCTTATATATATATATATATAAACGTAATATGAAAGTTTACTTTTATTTTAAAGATAAATATTAAGCAATCGTGTTGAGATAAAATATTCCTTTGAATATAAAATAAATAATATTTTCTGAATAATTTTTCTCTCATTATATAGAACACAGAAATCTATAATTATAGATTTTTCCTATTTCTTTCTAAGTAAGATTTAATAGTACAAAATTAGTAAGCATTAGTATAGATATTGATTTTACAAGTAGGCCTATTTATGGAATCATCAATAACCATTAGAGGATTGTTTGATCAATCATTAAAATTAAACATTAAAAACTAAATTAATTATAAAATCTCTTATTATTACTCCAACTTACTTAATTTTCACTTTTTAAACTGAATGTAAAGAAAATTAAGAGATATGTTACATTTACTCTATATACAGGCCTAAGTAGAGAAAATGTATAAGATCATTTGACTCATGCATAATATATAAAAGGCTTTTGTATAAAAGTAAAATTATACAAAAGTAATATAAAATTTCTTGTAAGTGCAGTAAATTAATCTACTTACAAATGAATAACTCAAAAATGATTAGTTATTTCATCTTGTTTAAGATGTTTAGCTTCTCTTAAATTAGCTTATTATATCAAGTAGTAAACTATAAAAGAATATTAATTCTTTTCTTTCTTGTCTTTCTCATGTACTGTATGGAGTCGATGTTCGATGTTCTTTATCATCTCTTCATTTCTTTCTTTCATCTTCAAATCAATTTTCTTCCCTCCTCTTCATTTACTCCTATTCTTTCTCCCCTCCATTCCTGCTTTCATCATACCTTTTGTTTAATTAATGAGCAGAGAACAGTGACAAATCAAAATCATTTAACTCTATATCTGAAATAAATGATTTAATTTACAAATAATAATAAAATTAAGCGAGCTTTTATACAGATTTATGTTATTATTTCAATTTTAATGGATTTAACTTTAACTCTTTCTCCTCTTTCCAATGTTCTGTTACTCAAGCAGGTCCTAAGAATTGTCAGAATTCTTTCAGTTCCTTTTTGCATTGGTTTTTGATCGAACAATAACTGCAACAATCTTAAATCATCAATCATTTTCTTTCTTTTCTTTTTTCCTTCCACAAGTTTTCTAGAAACGTCCACCAGTATACTAATTCTTCGGAGCCTACGCCAATGTAGTTCCTCTTTCCTTATTCATCTCTAACACCTGTAAAAAAATCATCATAATAAAATAAATATAAACAAACAATAAGCTTTACGATTAACGAGACAAAATACACAGTAATTATGAAAATAATTAAATGTCAGCTACATTATAAATAAACCCTAAGTGCTAAAATACATTTTCAAATTATTACAATATATATATTCAATACAATAAAAGACATAATCATTCTAAAAATTCTCAGACGATCACCATTTTATTTTCTTCAATGTTCCAGACCAAACTCCGACGGGAATTCAAATATATAGTCTATATATTTTTTCACATTTGGCCCTGTGGGCATTATAAGGACTTTTCTTCCATATACTCATCGCGAGTTCAACCATTTTTACTTAATATTCTTAATATGTGTTGCTTGATTGGTTAATTAATGCGAGGTGTCAGCATATTGCAGATTATATGATCGATTACAGTCATGCCCATTATGAGAAGACCCGATCCGTTATGGGAGATCACGTTTGGCAAGGATTCGGGAGCGATACAGGATAACGTATAATAAATAACTGTATCTGAACAAAATTCTAACCCGTATCTTTTATAGTGTAAGAATATAGACCATATTACTAATCTCCCGAAGACTTTTTTCCTCATTTTTGTCTCGACGATACTAAGAGGGCAGTTTTAAATGTTTTAAACTGTCCCCGTTATAGGTTCAGCCAGCACACAATGGGAATATTTAAATGATGAAAACAGGACTGACGTATCGGCTTGGTAAGTATTAAGATATATTAATTAATAAAACACTGTTTTTCAGCAATTCAATTCCTCTTTAGTACACTGTATCGCATTACTGTATATACTGTACTTATATTGAATAACTTAGAATAGTTATAAAAAAATTGTGTTTAAAAAACAACCTCGCCCTGTTAAAGATCTTATACATGGACCAATATTCAACTCAGATTCGAACCCAAATCCTACGGAATGGTCTTTACTACCTCGGCCATCTGGTGTCTATTTTCAGAAGTTAAAATTTAATTGCATTTTGAATTCGACTTAATTCTATATTTTAAGTTCCCTAGTTAAAACTTTTTACATATTCTATATTAATAAATTTATATTTATTTATTACATTTATTATAATTTATTATTATTATATTAATTTATTACAAGAATATTTTCCGTTAAACTCTAAACATTTGAATAAATAAAAAAATATATGTGTATTATAATCTAAAGTCATCTGCGGACGTAGCAGAATTGTCGTTATCTGAAAAAATTTAAATGTTCTACAATCAAAATTGAATCAGAAAGAGTTTAATGTTCTTTAATGCAATTCTGTAAGCCATTATATGTCTACAAATCACCAAATTTAAATTCTATAAAAATAACAAATGTTCGATTTATAAAACAATTCTCAAAACAAAAATACTTTAAACATATTTTACAAATTTTTTTAATCTACTTCGAACGGAATAAATAGTTTAAATCATCACAACAGAAAAAAAAGCGGAGAAAATAAAAAAATGATGAAAGATGGCGCCACTCGGAAAAAAATTAAAAAATAAAATGAGAGACGACGAGATCGAAAGCTACTGTTATGCGAGCATGCGCAATACAGTCGAGAAGTGCAACCGAAGAGAATGGATGTGTTAGTGAAAGTCGATGGAATTATTTATCTTAAATGGTTATGAAACTTAAACCGATACCAAAACGACTTTAGTGGTTGATTCTTAGGAAGATGCTACGATTCTTCAGTAAGAGATTCGGTCGTAACACCGCCAGGAATGCCAAAACTGGGAACAATGCCACTCGGCCACTTTCAAAGGCTTCCAAACATGTCCTACCTTGTAAAGTAATTCTATTAGATGGCACCGATCTCTCCATAGATTTAACGGTAAGATAACTTGGTTTTTTTCGTAATAAATAAACCACGTGTTAACTGCTAAACGTCAGACACGTGTATGCACGCGCTTTAACGCGGAAATCTTTCATTGTGATTTTTATACATCCTGACAGAGTGATTTTCCTATATGAAAGGAATGAATGCATAGGTTGACATTAAAACATCAGAATTAATGTATATAAATAGATCAGTTTTATTTTATTATTACCATTCATACCGATAATATCTTTATCATTATATTGTGCTTGTTAAAATTGCTCAACAGGTTGGATAGTTGTGACTATTTTTGTTTCATTTAATATGTTTCTTTAGATAATTTGATATTGTATTTATACACTTGGTGATTTACACATAGTGGTGACATATATATATTATTGTAACTCAGTAGTATAATATTAGAAACAACAAAAATATAATTTTATATATAATAAACAGTATAAGCAGTTGAGAGTGAGCTTTATTGATGGTTGACTGATTGCACAAATAAATGTCCAGCCAGTTAAAAAGAGACAATCAGACACGGCAAAATCAAAATCATGAGTTTTTTCCTCCTATTGTTAAAATGTAGGAAACATTTCTTTCCATTTTGTATTTCGGTATTTCTGAGTTTGGAAATTTGTAAATAAATTTTTACTTTTGCAAAATTCATTTGTTTTTGGACGTTTTTATCTTTGTGTACTTGTATCGGAACAGCTATTTCCTAACTGTGTGAAGCCGAATGAAATCTTATCTTCATATAGATTAAATACCAGACTTTATTTCTTTGTAGAATTTAAAAATCTTTGTGTAAAGCAATTTTTTTTATTACTGTTAAAAAGTAATCTTGATTTTTTTTCTTATGTATTGTTAATTAATGTAACTTTATAAACAGTTTTTAATAATTTATTTTGTTTATTATTGTTGTTATAGTTAAAAGATAAATAGTAAACACTACTCAGTTGAAAATATTTTTAAAAATTATACAAATATATTTTGTAATGTCTCAAAAATTAAAATTCCTTTAATCTTTCATATAATGTATTTGTACTGTATATTATATGAAGAATTAAAACAAATATACAAATAATATAAATAATTTTATAGTAAATTATTTATATTATTTGTGTGCTGAAGCTTTGGTGGTGGTGATAAAAAATTTTATTAACTTCCTAAATTATTCTTGATATTGTTTATAATTTAATATATAAGAAATTTATACTAAATATTTGAATACTATTAAATCAACTAATAACATTCAGTGTTACCTGTTTTGAAATTCTACACAGTATTTCAGACTAAAATTTATTATCTGTAATAAATAAATTTATATATATATTAACATGTTCAAAACTAAACTAAAAAAACGTGAAATTTAATCAATAATAATTTCATGCTGTGCTACACTCGGTATCATGGTTTAATGTTTATGTTAGAACAGGGATAATGTTACATAGTCCACCCTCTTAAAATTGATGTAAAGCACTCACTGATACCACTTTCTCCTCTCGTTCTGCTTTATATAACACTGTGTCTTATTAATTGTAACAGATATAAACATAATTATTTTTTACAACCTAGTGAAAGATAATTAAATCCCTTAAGTGATTAATTTCTCTCTAGCTTAACGTATCTGGGAGGTTGTCAACCTCTAAATTGTCCAAAGCTTAAAGAAAAATGGGAGTTTTCTTGGAAGCTATCACAGTAGATTAGAGTATGCTTGGGCGATTACTGTTTACTTTAAAACTCGTTTTTTTTATATTATTTTTATTTTTTGTAATTATCCGTGTAGTGCTGCTAATAACATGTCATTGCGACAATACGAGTCACATTTCCATATAGTGTAATTCCCTTGACCGAAATCCTTTTTCTTCCTGACCCTTCTCGCGACTACACACACACCCATCACGGCTTTATCTGGATTTGGGTCACAAATTGTTTCTAAAGTAATCGTTTTAAAATAGTAGCTTCCTGTAGTTTCATTAAATGTATGTAAGCCGTGTGTTAGTGAAAGATGATAATTGCTTTCTTCTTGTTTTTGTCTGGTTTTCCTTCATGACATCACACGTTTGGAATATAGAACGATTTCTGTTTTTGATGCTGTTTGTGACGTCACAGTGAATGCGGTGTGCCATTTTTTTTGCCTATTGTGATGTCATACGTAAAATGGGCTCTTCTGATGTCTCACGTATCGACTGTTCATTAATTTTTTAACAGGATTTTCTTCGTAACGTTACAATAATCCGGAATACAATATTTTCTCTAGGAGATGCCACATTACGTGGACATACAATAGCATAATTAAATGACAATATTTTTAATGTGATATAAATGAAACATTGATCTGCGACATTACATATGCCAGCTTTTCTGTTACACGGATCACACGCTAATTAACTTAGAGCCACCGCAGGGACGTCACACACCGCTAATCAGTTTTTAAAATTTGAACGCTCTGATATTATTATTCCACCATTAAAATAACGTCTACTCGAAATAATATATAATCGTGCGTATACAAACTTTACAAAATAAACTCATTTGGAAGGAAGAAAAATATTTTATAGTGTCTTCCTTTTTTATGACATAATTGTTCTTGAGCGTTAGGACAATCACCAGTGAATTATACCGGCTGGAGGCATAACGTCTACTTAATGTGACACTAGACTATAAAATTAATTATATGGCCTCCGGAAACGACAACTAGGCACGACACCCATCAAAAGTATTTTAAACTAAGATTATGTAGTGTATAATTAATGAATCAGATATATATAAACCTTAGCGCGTGTAATTGTTCCATATTTAATTTCCTCTTCCTATATTGCTTCATTAGGCATTCACGTTTGTTCTTGTACTGTGCTACACACTCGACAGTTGTATTTAGACTGGTGTAGGAATAATTATTAAAAACATTTGTACTGTGTTCTTGTATTGAAATCGTCGAAGGGGGGCCACTCCATATGGAATTGTTTGTACGCCTGGACTTGGCACCTGGTGTGTAACGTACAAAGTGACATATGGCTGGTGTTTTTTGCACACGCGCTTAAGTGTGTTAACACTTAGAGACAGGTATGCCATTCGTGCAATGACTCATCGTCGTGTGGAATTTATCACTTTTCTTGTGTTTCAGATAGTGTTCAAACATTACTTGAAATGATACGGCTGGTGTGTAGCGTATAGGATGACAGCCTGGCTTTTTTCCCCTATGCTTTTTTAAATGTTTCTTGCACACTTTTAAACATGCGTACCTTGACCCTGTGTGTACTAATACTCTATCTAGACCGGTATGCCACTAACGATGAGTCATCTGCATCGTGGAATTTGGCGCTTTCCTAGGTGTTTACCGTCTGGCTAATAGGCATTCGATCAGTATTGAAGTGTTTCTGAAGCTGTGTACTCGTGTGTAGAAAGAAAGACGTCAGTAGTTACCCTTGAAAGAGGCAGCTGCAACATGTCCCACAGTCTTTTCGTGATAAAATGTGGCACAGTTTTTTTAATCTTGTATCCCTCCCCTAGCTTCATTTATGGCGAGTGTTTTTTTTTACAAGAAATAGTTTAAAAACATATTTATTTATTTTATTTTAGCGCAAAAATACAACAGTAGAATGCCAGTCACGTGATACAGATATGGTCGCGTCTTCCTTTCCCTACTAATAATAAGTATTTTTTGGCTATAAAATTTAGATAAAAGTAACAATTTAATGGATTTATTTACAACATTTGTAGCTCCGAAATGGCTTTAACGTATGATGAATAATCTATATCGATGGTTGCCGGTTAACGTAAGAGCTACCCCCACACTCTGGCGTGACGTAACCGTCACGTGATTGCCGTTACGAGTAATTTGGGGTGTAGGAAAGGTGAAAAATATCTTTCGATCGATGACGATAACTTTTTCGATGAATTTCGTTTCTAAAAATACCGATCGGCTATCCCGAGGCCAAATAAATTATTTCCTAGAATTCTGACGTTGGGGTCACGTGCCGTTCTTTTGAATTTTTGAAAATTGCTCGTGGGTCACGTGATGTTACGTGCTTCATCCATGTATGAATGAAAATGCTACCGCAGCAACAATTAACGTAATTCTTCGAGCGGAAAATTTTCGTTCCTCGGAGGGAAGAAAGAAAGAAAATAACCCGTAATCATCTTATGAAAATGCAAATTATTCACTGTTTAGCTGTATTTATTTGCGAAGAAAGATAATTCATTAAACTGGGAAGCGAACAAACTAGATCAACTCTCAAACGTGGACAGCCATCAATCAAGATTAATTAAATTTAATTGAATTTAATTCAGGCTTTTGTCAAATTAACCTTGTAAATGAAACGAATATGCCCTTAACACACCAGTAACTTGGTATAATTCGTACGGTTTAAACTTTATGTACTGTAAAATCTTTTGTTTAGAAATCCCTTTACAGAAAAGTTAGCAAACAAAAACTATGAAGTTTGTTTAGTAAAAGACTTTTATAATTTTATTTATGAATTTTTCTCATCAATCTACTCCTGTAAACTCCTAGAGACAGTGCAAATTAATCACTAAAGAAGTTTTGGAGCAGTTTGAAATGCTTGTAATTAATAAAATTAATATACAGTGTGTAAGTTTTGAGACAAAGTATCGAATCTATTCATTATATTCAATTTGTATATGCTTTGCTACATTATTGAAGACATTAAATATGCTCATTTATCAGTATTGTTCAATTTAAATCTTTATGGATTATCTATGAATTTAATTTAATATTGAAGTTTAAACAGTACATTTGTGTATTGAATTTAATTGGAAATGGCAGCTTATGTGCCGAATGCCATATGTTGCATTTGTTTATTTACAGTAAACCTTTATATTAATCAATGTTTTGGTATACTATTGAGTGTTTCTATAAAATTTAAAATTGAATAATTTTTCTGTAGCTATTATATATTTAATTATTTCTTTTATTAATTTGTAGCTCATATTTTTAAAATACATTGTAAATATTGTATTGAATTTTATAAAATATAAATTTAGTA